TGACTGTTAAAGCATTCATACCAACATTTTTAAAGGTAACAGAAGCTTACCAGTTTTCTCAGGTTCCTCAGGGATGGTTCCATTTTCCCTGTGGACGACAGCATCATCCTTGGCTGTGACCCCTGGGATCACGGGGAGGTTCTTGGGTGGGCTCTTGGCAAGAGGGGAATTTCTCATTTGTAACAGGAAGGTCCTCTCATATATGATCCTTGTGCCTGGAAGAGTGATACTATTCAAGTTTCTTCAAAATATAAAGGGGATCAGAATGAAGATAGAGCTTATATTCTGAGCTCTCTCACAGAAGTTATTTCTATAAAATTAAATAGAAAAAGTACTTATAAATGCGTTTACCCATTGATGTCAATTGTATTTTTAATCTAATATTTTTGCTTAATTACAGATGGCTCCATATGACATTAGTTACCAAGGTGTCAATTACTTCCCCTCCCTAATCTCACCCTGATTACCCTTTTCCTAGTTTTTTTTTTAGATTAGCCACCAAAGAGTGAATTGCTAGTCCTTTCTCTTTTCCTAGATTTTCAGAGAGTTCTTGAATTCGTTATTGCTATTAATATTGATATCATTATCCAAAGTTAATAATAATAATAATAATAATAATAATAATAATAATAATAATAATAATAATATCAATATTGATAATAATAATAATATTATTATTATTATCAATATTGATAATAATAATATTATTATGATTATCAATATTGATTATAATAATAATAATAATAATAATAATATTATAATTATTATTATCAATATTAATAATAATAATAATAATAATAATAATATTATTATCAATATTGATAATAATAATATTATTATTATTAACACTGAAAACAACAACAATAATAATAATAATAATAATAATAATAATAATAATAATAACAATAATAACAATAATAACAATAATAACAATGATGATGATGATGATGATGATGATGATGATGATGATGATGATGATGATGATGATGATGATGATGATGATAAAATAATAACAATAATAATAATAACAATAATATTAGTAATAAAATAATAATAATAATAAATAATATTAACTGTGCTAGAATAAATAGAACTGCTTCCTGAAAACTCAAGGAATAGTGATATCAGGTGAGGTCAGTTAGGCCTACAAACTGGCTCCTTGGTGACTAAGCACTTGTAGAGTCATCTCTGTGTAAATAAAACCTACAAAACCTAACTAAAGCCAGCAGCATATATCGAACCATCAACATATACACAAAATTCACAAAACAATACTACAGTGGGTGATGCAACTACCTAGTGTCAATAGGTTGAATACAGTTCCCTTGGAGGGATACAATAATCATCCTTATAAACATTTTCCCTTTGAAATGACAAAAAATACAGGCATTTGTTAGAATTCTATTAAGTTAGAAACCTATCTCTCATGAACTTTAGTGGAGATTTTGTTCCATAAAAGATACCTTCAAGTCTTATTTTTGTTTTTACTCATATGATGGAATATGTACTATAGTTACACAAACAGTAAATTATTGATTATATGCAGGGAATTTGATGGCATATATATTTTCTCTTTAATATAATATGAGGTACTAATTTCTGAAAAAAAATATATATTGCATATCTGGATTATCTTTGAAAAAACAGTTATTTTTTGTAAACCTGACAGACTTCAATTTTCTATATTATTGTATCCTCTATCCTTTGGAGATGTATTCTTAAATTATTTAAAATATGAAATAAAATGCTACATGAAAAAGTTACTGAACACAACATCTACAATGTAAAAAAAAGGAAGGGAAATTATGAAATGTAATTATTGTTTATATGTAGAGGTATAATTGCATATATAATCAAGACATATGCAGCATATAAAGACCCATGAATATGTTTCTTTTAGCTTCCATGAATTCTTAACCCTTTAGAAAAAAATATGTACATAATCCAGCATGCAAGCCAAAAATAATACAGGTATCAATGGATAACTAGATGCAAGTTATACCCTTTACTTATAGTGTACAAGGGAGAAGAGGAGAAGGAAAATTACTAGGAACTCTCTTGCGACTGACTAAGCTAGTCTGCTCAATTTCTACACCATGCATCAACCAGGAAAGCTTGTTTTCAAGATCAACTCAATAATTAAAAACAATACCCTTTTCTCACACATTATTAATCTGCTGTACTTTAGTTTAAAAAAAACTTGATAGATACTAGTAGTTATATAACTACCTACTAAAATGAGCAAACTATAATGTAAATGACTTATCCTTTACAAACACACTGGCTGATATGTTTAATCAGAAGTCCTAAATATAATCACAAGACAAACATCCCCATAACAATAAAACAGAAATTTTGAATATACTTCATCCATGGCTGAGGGGTAGGTGGGGCAGGGGGTAAATGTTAAATGTTCTGAAAGCAGAAAAATGACCAGCAATTCAATGACGAATGTTGGCATTTAGCGTATCAACATAAAATCTGGTCTATGGTTCCCTGAGACTCCCCAGGCAGAAGCACATGGGTGGAGAGGGAGGGCAGGGGAGGCAAGGGTGTAGGAGGAGGCAAGGGCACAGAGGGAGAGCAGGGGAGACAAGGCTGTAGAAGGAAGCAAGATTGCATGGGGGAAACAGGGGAGGCAAGGGCACAGAGGGACAGCAGGGGAGGCAAGGGCATTGGGAGGGCAGGGGAGGCAAGGGCGCAGACGGCGGGCAGGGGAGGCAAGGACGTGCGGATCACAACGTAAACAAACCCACCTGTAACCCCCCTCCCCCTCCCTCCCCCCTCCCCCCTCGTGCCTTTGTGTCAAGGCCGAGGCTTCCCTGGCATCGATCCCCCAAGGACGCACTCACCGCCTGGGGTTGTGGAGAACATGGTCCCCCCCGGCGTGGTGCTGTAGTCATGGGGCATCTCGGCCGGCGAGTTGATCTGAATTCGGCGAGGAATGCTCTGCGGCTGGGCCTGGGCCACGGCCTGGCGAGCGACGGGCGAAGCGGACATTTTCGTCAGGAGTTTCGGGAGATCGACGGCTAATATTCGCGAAGTGCAGCCGTGGGTGACACGACGTGGGACAGGGTTCGAACGGGGAATCAAATCGTGCGACAGAGCTCAGCTGCGTCCGCTCCCTTTCCGCCACAGCACCACAGCGTGAGTGGCTCCGCGCGCAGTGTTGGAACCTCGCTCAGCTGCGTATCTGGCAGTCGCAAGGGCGATAATCCTATATCTCTCATCGGGAAAGTAGACTCTATCACCGCTGGCCTTCAATAACGTTGAAAGGCCCATTGGATGTGGTTGTAAATACGACCTAGTGTTCTAGTGAGTCGTAATAACTATTGCGCATCAGGAACATCAGCACACGAATTATACAAAAAATGAAAAATATTAATTAAATGTCTAAAAGTGCTGTAACATAGTTTACTATGCAATCGCCACTCCAAGGATAATGAGTCGTGTTCGGTAGCAAAACGCCCACCACATGGCCGTCGTCTGTGGGCGTGCAAGATCTCATGCTGCCCTTTGATATATTTTTATCTGGACAAGATTTTCTGTTGGGAAAAAAGTTTCAGACACGAGTCGGTATAGATTGTAAGTTAGGGACATCTCGTTTTCTTTTTTTTCAAAGATTTGGCATCATTGATATTCTAAGCTTTATATCACATTCGCAAGGACAAACAGCACGATTCCAGTGTCTAATAAATTTCCATATTTATTTTCACATGGCAGTGTAAATGCAGATAGTAGAATTGTCATTTCATTTCACAGTGTCATGTGGCGAGGTATTCGGAATTGTGTTTTCCATTTACGTGTTTGCATGACAGGAAAGTACTAAATCTGCATCAGGCCTTTTAACTTGACGAGGGGCAGCATGAACGCAGTAATGTAGGTCATATAGTCTAGGTTCTGAGTCATTTACTCGAGTTGACTCTTCAAAACATGTCTGGCTGCAAAGGAAAATTTTCTCAAACATCATGCGGTGATTAGTGTGGAAAACTAATTATTTTTCTTTTTTTCAGGCACAATGGATCTGAGAAAGCATTAACTGCGTAAGGCGAAAAGTTCCTTATCTTATCGCATATCGACATACCAACAGTGATGTATCTACAGCCATTTAAAAGAGTTTTTTTTTTAATCAGAAACGGTGGCGTGAAGGTGTCCGCGGACGGGCTATGTAATGTTTATAACAGGCAAATAAAATGATAACTGTAACCATCAAAACAATAGTGGCAATGAAATTAAAAATATTTGTATTTAAGGATGACGAGATAGGGGCCAGTGCTTAGAAACAGGTCATTAATTACTGTTCAGTTCATGCTGAGGTGTACTTCGTAAGATGAAGGTGTAAGATGAAATAACTAAATAAAGGGGGACAAGTGCCAAAGATATTAAACGGATTCATAGTTAGGAAATATTCATATAAAAATTCCGTAGAATGAGAAGATCAGAGTCCTGCAGGCCTGTAGCTCGCTAGTGACATCATTACTGACGTCATCTCTGTCTGTTTTCCATTCGCTTGCCAAATCATACGTACTATTGCTTTTTTTTATCTTTTTTTTTACAGGGCGGCGGCACGTCCAAATTCTAAAATGGGTAGGCGTACTTTGGCATCTAACCTTGTCCTAAGAGATCTTTTCCTAAGGTTGGACACAGAGCAAACTTACCAGATTGTTTAGTGAAATCATATGGTCTAACGCCTCAAACACGTGGTACAAGTGCGCGTCGCCGACAGTAAGCAGGGTTGTTGCAAAGGATCTCGCTGCGTTTGTCCTGCAACAAGGTGCGCGTTTCTCTTTCACAAATCTGCGTAGTATGTGGTTAATTATCTGTGTTGATGAAACATATGCTAAGTTTCAAGTTTCTATGGAAATAATGCAAATAAAAATTCTATTGAATATTGCTGTGTATACTCTGCATATATACAGGAAAAACACATATATTGATACTGCGTATACGTGTACTCACATTTGTATGAAGTTTTTTTTTCTCTCTCTCTCTCTATATAT